ATCATCATGTATCATCATCATGTATTATCATCATGTATCATCATCATATATATATCATCATCATGTATCACCACAATCATCATCATAATCTATAACCCACACATCTTTATAAATAAAAAAAGAACATTTCAAAAACAAAAGTAGAACAGCTAAGCTAAAACATACCAGTGATTGGAATCCCAGAGAATCCATGTTTGGCCTTGGCCTCTATCACGTCACCAACAGTGTGCAAAGTACTAAGAACAAGTGGAGCTGTGATGAATCCTTGCTCGAATTTCTTGACTTTCCTCACTTCATTTGCTTGGAATTCAATAGAACAGTTGTGATGAAGGATCCCAATACCTCCGTTTAACTGCATAGGTAAAAATATTCACTTATTTATTCATTCATTCATTTACTAAATAATGCTCTTTAGACAAAGCAATATTTAAAGGTGAAAATGCTGCTATTTTGTCAAGCACTTTGAAACATTTTTTCTTTGAAATACTTACAGCCATCGTAATTGCCATTTTTGATTCTGAAAGAAAGAATAATTGAGCATAATTTAGAAACTTTAGCTATAATCCTTTAACATCGATACGCTAATATAGAATGCCTCAGGACTGTTATTTGGACTGTTATTAGATATTAGGAAGTCTTCATAGAACTATATATAGAAGGAATATAATTTCAAGCAATGAATATCATTAGCATCATCAACATCAATATTATCAAACATGCTAGCTTTAAGTTCTCATTTAAAGATTTAAGACACGAATCCTGTTTTATTTATTTATTTAAATATTTTCAAACAGACTTAGCATTATTACGTAGTACACAGTATAAGCAATTCTGATGTTGAGGAAAAAAAACGGATAAAGTTTGCATTGCGGTGCACTGTGACACTGTTCAAGGGAACAAAGTGGACGGCATCTTAAAAATATGTCCTCTAAAGGCCGGTTTAGATGGTACGATTTTCACCTACAACTACCATATACAACACACTCGTGTCTATCGTAGGCGAGTTGTAGGCTTGATTTACATGCTACGACTCGAGTTGTAGGATGGCGCGAGCGTGTTGTATATGATAGTTATAGGCGAAAATTTTACCTTCTAAACCGGCCCTTAAGACAGTTCCACAATACACTGCAGTACCAAATTGATCCATTTTCCCCCTCAACCTCAGAATGGCTAATAGACAATTATAGAGTTGCCTTGGAGGATAAAATTACAAAAAAACTTTCAAAGTCTTTGATACATTATAACAGTTTTTGCATGGTGTCAGTTGACTCCCACTATACCAGGATGCTTTGTGAATTTGCTAACTAACTGAACGAAAGAAAGTGGGCAAGAGATTCTGGTAGTGGGAGTCAAATGAGGCCATCGTGAAAGCTTTCTATTTCATAGTTTTCTTACCAGTGACAGTGTCCATAGGTGAGCTGACTAAAGGTGTCTTCAGGGTGATCTTCTTGGTGAGGGGTGAAGTCAAGTCCTGGGGAAATGATGACATCTTTATTACGTTTTTTTCTTTGAATAATATTGTGGATATGTTTTAGATTGACAGAATCTAAGAAAATCCAGAAGACTGTGTTTCATTTGCACTTAAATTTACATTCACAATGACAGAGTGCTTTGAAGCTAAAGTGAATTGAAATTTTTTGAGTAACTCATGCATTGTAATACAATAAATAAATATAATATTATAAAAACTATGAAAAGTAATAATGTAACAATACTAATAAATCAATATTTGTAATATACTGTGCTAAATATGCAAGATTTCTTTTTGCTCAAGATACTTATAAATTTTATGAAAGCTCTGTTTCTCAAGTGTAGCCTCGATTTTGTGTAGAATATTCACATGTTCTTATGTAAAGGTGAGTGGAATTTCAAAGTGTTTGTATCGTTAAAGTTGAGCATTCTTTACTTTACCAATGGTATTTGTGGATATTTTGACACTAATTCGAGGCTAACCCTGAGTAAATGAGTTTTTAATCAAGAAACACGGCAGTGATTTAGAAATTGTAGAAAAAGGGCTCTTGGTCAAAAATTTGGGCCGAGAACAAGTTTAGATCAATTTCTCTACTAACATGTCAGCTTCAATAGACAAAATTTATCTGGAAATTGTTTCCAGAAATTCAGCTTTACTTTATAGAATATAACAATAAACCTTTGACTTAATTTGAAACCAATCAGTTTACGCCCTAAGGTTGATAATTTCACTGCATAATATTTCACTTCATATTATATTATAATAAATGAGAATATTCATAAAGTAACATTGATATAAGACTTGATAAAAAGAATTAAACGCAATGAATACTAACCACATCATTTGCCAGAAAATCAATGAATCCAGGAAGAATGATGAAATCACTGAAAGTATGAGAAATCATAAACTCACTTAACGACATTTCTATTGACACACTGTGGCATTAAGAATTTAACAGAATTATTTCAAAATGTTATTTCAAGTAATACAGAAAATTTACATTTTTTTGAGAAAGATGTCTTAAGCCACAGAATGTTCTAGCATATTGTAAATTAGCTTAACTCAAGACTTATAATGAGCTGCTGTACTAACGATGTGAAATAATGCCAGCTTAAAGATAATCAGGAAATCAATAATTTAACAGAGAGGTTAAGCAGGAGCTAGAGGGAAAAGATTTACAATTGAAAAATTGAAGGAAATTTTAGATATCTATTTGCATCCTCTAATTCCATCAATATGGTGCCATGGTAATAATCTATGGTATCTGCAGACAAAAAAAATTAAAAGTCCAACAGAGACACTTTTTTGCTAAAAAGAAAGTTATCTACTTTTTAATCAGTCTCAACTACACTGCTTATTTCTTGAAAATATCATTACTGCAAACTGATTAATTAAATTGTAAAACTAATTAGGGTCACCATTGGAAACTGAAACGTTAATTAAATTTCCAAGACTGCTTTTAATTGTTTCACAAAATAATTTTGTAATGCTTAGTTTTGAATGTCTAAGCTTTAATTCCTTTTTACCCCGTAAATTTCCTATCATTTAAGATATGTTTTCTAGTAAAAAGTAAAAAAAAAAAAAAAAGACATTTTTGTACAGTAATTTACACAGAAAATAAAAATGGGAAAAAGTGCATCCTTTGAAAAGTAATTGTAAGTGAAAATGGGGAAAAACAAATATTTATATTTTATGATTATAAAATGTGAATAGATGAATGAATGAATGGATGGATGAATGAATGAATAAATGAAATAATGGATGGATGGATGGATATTTTTATCGCTTACCATCAAACTATTTAAAGAAAGGATGCTTATTTTCTGTATGATACGATAAAACTATGAATCTTATACTTTTTACTCAACTCTTCATTTTTTAGGAGGGGAGGGGTGGTCAAACAAGACTAAGTAGATTATAATACATAATATCATAATCGAAATATCAGCAAAAAGACTCAAATAGCACTTATCTGTCACGAAAAGATATATTTTAAAGGTAGTTTTAGTCTGTTCGACATTATTTTCGGTATCAAAGCTACAAAACAAAAAGCAAAAGTTCAAAACAGCAAAAAAGCAGCTGGTTTTTGATAAAAACTCTTTTCGTGCAAAAAAAAAAAAAAAGAAGCGAAGTCTCGCAAAAACAGCCGCGAAAATCACAAGAAAACATGAAAAGACACAAAGAAAATCCTACAAAAAATACTCAAGCATTACGATTAATCTTAAAATTCAAAGGAAGCAAAAAATTTTAAACGAACAGTCGAGAAACTCCACGTGTTGCTCTGTGTGAACCAAATAGAGCGTCAAGACGAACAGAACTGATGAGGTCGTTTCTACTCAACATCTTTTCAGTTTTTTTGTTTCAAAAGATGCTAAATACAGATATGAACATTACCTATAAGTAAGGCCATCGCTAGAAAATAAATGAGTAGCTACCATGCCGTCTTCTGGTACGTAACCCGTGCCTCCTGTTATCAGTAGCTCCGCCATTTTTTCCTCGACAGTCTTTTTTCCTTGGTCCAAGTTTCACTCGCCTCTTCGCGTTATTGTGCCAGAATAACACTGTGAGAACTAACAAGGAGTGCCAGTATCGTCTCTCCTATAATTTGAACGTTCTCTGAGAACGACAAGTTGGCAAAATGAGAAGTTTTTGGCGTCTAATTTAACTTTACACCTTTGTTTGTGTGTAATTTAGGATCTAGGCCAACGTGTTTTATATAGAAACATCTAACTCCCCTGGGGGGAGGAGTCCATGCGCAAAACTAATGTTAAAGCTTATGTCTTTATAAATAATTGTACTTACTCTCTCAACCATTCAGTCACTATCACGAAAAATATAAATACAACTAAAAAGAAATATAGAGTTAACTAAAATCAGTAAATCTAAGCGAAAACTAATTATCGTCTCAAGCTTGAGAGGCAACCTTTCTAATTTCACACTAGGAGTGTTTTTAGACTATTTTTAGCGGAGCTATAAGGTGGCTCGACTGGGTTTTCTTTGTCGCGTACCTTCGAAGTGTGAACAGGAAATGCGTTTTTGTCAATAAGTTAATTTCAAATAAATAATAATGTCGTGTCTAGAGATAGATTCAAGTTTCAAATGATATACTATTTATCACAATCGGAGTTACTATAGCAACACAGTGACGTAATGTCATTTTCTTATACATCCCATTTTCGGCGAAATTAGACGTTTGTTTAAAAAATGGATTAAAAGTACTTAAAGCTCATATGATCGCCTTAAAGTTAACGAAGTTTCGACGATTAGTATGGAAGCGTTTCGAAATATATAATTCCCATCGGAACTTTTTTGCAGCAAAAACGACAACGATCCAATACAATTAGTTCATGTGTACGAACCTTTTCTTAGTGGACTTTGGCTTTTTTTGGTCTCGAAGTGTTAGTCCTAGTCCTTCTGAAAAAATGGAAAGAAATCGTTTTATTATATAATTACCAATGAAATATCTATTTTTCTCTATTTCGAAAAATTGATATCTTCACACGTGAAAATAACATGTTATTTTCACGTGTGAAAATAACACTATTGCGATGGCTATTCAAAAATACACGGAAAGAATTGCCTGAAAAAGTCAAAACATACTTCATTGATAATTATATAATAAACGGAATATTACATGGGCGCTTGGAGATACGAAATTTATCTTCTCGTGTTGAAAATCTCTCACTCGTTCGCTGCGCTCACTTGTGAGAGATCTTTTCAACACTCGAAGATAAATTTCGTATCTCCGCGCGCCCATGTAATATCCTCTATTTATTCGATTTCCAGTAATATGACTTCAAGCCTAGTTAGTAAAGTTGTGCCTTTTGGTCTCTTGTCAAAGATTCATTTTCTTATAATTATATATATTTTTAAAACTTCGAAATCTAATACTTTATATAACGCAGTAACATACCCTAAATAAAGCTGATTGAAATACCTGTAGAGCCTCAAATAATAATCTCAATTCCGTAAACATTTGTATCCCAGTTCTAAATATGACAGCCGCTTCCTTCATTTGCACTTTGTTTCTAGTTAGTTGTGCATCTCTATAGACTCAAAACTCGCACCGATGTGAGGCTTAAGTTGTGAACAAAGGAATCTGGCGTGATTCAAAAGTCACGAGTACAGATAGATTTTATAGTATAGATTTCGCCAAGAGAGCATAAATCTTTTTGCGTCAAAAGGGCGCGTGCAGTAACAGAGAATGCCTGTAATATCGCAAAGAATTATGTAGAGATAAGCGTCTATCCACCATCAGGGCTGACAAGGACCTAAAATCCACATCAAAATCTGGCGTCACTCTGTTTTATCGGTACTCTCTGAACAATCGAGGGATTTGTTCATCTCAGCTCCTCCTATGATTAAAGCAAAGTTTAGTGGTGTATCCATGGAGCTACATTCAGTATAAAAAGGTTGAAGGGGCGAACCCTGATACGATGAAGGCTAATGAAGCCTGATAAAGGTTAATGAAGGCTATTGAGCCCTGGTGCCAGGAAAATGAAGGCTAATAATCTCTGATGAAGAAAGAGAAAACGCGCACGCGTGCTGTGTGCAGTTCTGAAGCACGCGGCGGGGTTAGGAGAACACGAGAGAAGTGTTAGGAGAAGCACGAAGCGTAGCGGAGTGCTTCTTGACACTTCTCGAGTTATTTGCCAATCCCCAAGTGTTTTATAACTCTAAACAGCACAGCAAGTAAAGTTTTTGTTTCTTTTATAAAATACCAATTACATGAATGTCGTAACTGAAAGTACGCGAGCGTGCTGTATTCTCTCATAAAGCACGCACTCACAACCAATCAGAACGCGAGATTTAGAACAGTTATATTATAATGAAGGTTAATGATCCCTGATGAAGGCTAATGAAGGCTAATGAACCCCGATGAAGGGTGATGAAAGCTAATGAACCCCGATGAAGGGTGATGAAAGCTGTTAAACCCTAATGAAGGCTAATGAAGGCTAAAGAACCCTGTTGAAGGCTAGTGAGGGCTGTTGAACCATGATGAAGGCTAATGACCCCTGATGAAGGTGATGAAGCCTGATGACGGCTTATGAATGTTTTTGAGCCCTTTTGAAGGTTTTTGAACCCTGATGAAGGGTAATAAACCCTGTTGATGGCTAATGAAGACTAATGAGCCCTGATGAGGGTATAAACCCGCGAGGAAGGCAAATGAGGGCTAATGAAGGCTAATGAAGACTAACGAAATCAAGAATATATGGATGCGTAAATATTGGACATTATAGTTACTATACTATATTACAAGACATGAGGTGGAGCTCGGACTTTTTCATTAAAATGCCAGTAACTTCTCACAGCCACAACGGAGAGTTTTGTACTCAAGGATGTGAAAGGCTAGAGGAAATAGTTAGACATTACACATTATGAACTATCTCAGCATATGCCACGGTATTCTAGTAAAGACTTGAATGAAAATGAGATAGAGGTTTGTATCTTTAAGCACAACCATTCATTTTGACGAATCATTTATAAATAATTCCTTGCTTATATTATCTATTAGAAATCTTTTTACCTATTTTCATCTAATTATAAACTTAAGTTTGTAGTGTTGTTGCTGTTATTACTGTTGCTCTAGTTGTTGTTTGTTGTTGCTGTTGTTGTTGCAGGGCTCAATAGCCTGTTGGTATTGCTGTTGTTATTGCTGCTGCTTATGTTGTTGTTGCTACTGTGATTGCTGCTGCTGTTGCTGCTGTTGTTGCTGCTGTTG